CAAAAGTATTTGTACAAGGAATTGTAACGAGCTTTTCCAAACAATCAGGCATTATCTACCATCTTATATAGGAGTCTTTGTTGACTGGGGCATGAGCCTACAAAAGTCTAAGTCTGTTTGATTTGCTATGTTTTCGCAAGCAGTATTGATCTTGGCTCTTCGTCTCGCTCTCTCCTGCAGAAACAAACACTGAAATTCAAGGTTCGGCTTCCTGTAAGCTAAATTAAGAATTAAACAAGTCAATATTGTATAAACCCATGAGGGAAGAGGTGTGCTAATGCTCCCATGCATGCGCATTTTACAGCTCCAACAGCACCTGTGGCCTTGAAGCCTGATGCTGGAAAACACTGAGGAGCACCGGCTCTCATAGAGTCCCCTGAAATTCGAGCATCTCTTCCAAGATGAACACAAATGCTAACTGTGCCTTCTTTCAAAATTAATAAGGCTTTAGTCAATTCTGATTGACACTGAGGAAAATAAAATATTTACTAAACATAAGGCAATAAACAGAGGACCACAGTTGCTTTGCTGGAATAGCAAGCTAGCTAAAGTAAAGCCTTTACAAAATGGCAAAATGGATTTATATCCTCATATTTACTTACTGTAAATGATAACACTACTAAACAAACTCTCAGATGACTCAGCAAGAGAGTCATGATCACCTCAGAAAGCCTTGTTTATGTTATTTTTGATACCCAAGGACTCAACTAGCTCTTCACATCCAGGGCTGCCTCCCAACATCTGCAAGGATAAATGTATAAACGACCTTATTGCTCTCTACACCTACCTGAGAGGACATTATAGAGAGGTAGGTGCTGGTCTCTTCTCACAGGTAATTAATGGCAGAACAAGAGGGAACGGGCTCAAACTTCACCAAGGCAGGCATAGGCTTGACATTAGGAAAAAAATTTTCGCTGAAAGGGTTGTCAGTCATTTGAATAGGCTGCCCAGGGAGGTGGTCGAGTCACCATCCCTTAATGTGTTTAAAGGTCGTTTAGATGTGGTGCTTGGCGATATGGTCTAGGGGTGTACTTGGAAGAGTAGGGTTGATGGTTGGACCTGATGATCTCAAAGGTCTTTTCCAACCTGAATGATTCTATGATTCTACAGTTCCTCACTATGCAAAAAAGAAAGAAAAAGGATGCTCAAGACTAGCTGAACACCCTGGTGCATCAATAAAGACACCAAGTAAAACAGAGTAGGTAGCCATTAAAGTGTAAACAATGGACAGAAATGCTTCACAGCCACAGCAGAAGTCAAGGATGAACCTATAAAAAAGCAGTGCCTTTCTTAGGGACAATTTTTTCCCCACAGTCTACACACTTAATTCAAGCTAATGACAAGCGTTGATTATATTTGTTGGCATATTTTCCTAAAGCTGGCCAGAACACTTCCCTCTTTCTAATTCTTGCATGCATTATTCTGACTGATGACTAGCAGATGCTGAAACAGGGCTGCTACAGTATTTGTACCCTGGTTTCTACACACTGCTACTTTATCACCAGCGTCACCCAATCTGAAGGTGTCATCCTTGAAAATATCATACCTAAGTGTTGACTTAGTCTGACACTATTTAGATGTTCTTAATTTAACAAACTCAACTGAACGACAAAATGACCGCAGGCCACTCGGCTATTTTTGGAAAATTTACAAATAAAGATTTCTATTAGCTTTCTGTCTGGTACTGCTTTGATATGGAAGAAATTAATATCAAATATTGTTTTACTTCTTCCATTTGATTAGTTTGGCATGTTAGATTTTTTTATTATTATTATTATTTATTTTTTTCCTTTCTGAATGGGGAATTTTCCTAAAATCACTTCAGGAAAAGTAAAGAAAGAAACAAACGTTCAACTTCCCAAAGCCAGAGAGAAAGAGGACCTAGGGGTGGAGCAGGATGTTCAACATGTTTATCAACATTTGTGCTTTCTCCTTTTCACATGCAGTTGCAAAGCAGCAAGCTGTGAGGAAGAAAAGAATCTGCATTTACAACAGAATTGTCTTATAGCAAATAAACGATCAATCAGGTTTTAAAATTATTCCCTAGTTTCATTATAATTTTTAACAGTCTGTGATATAGCTCTGAATACTGGTCAACGGAGAAGCCTCAAACAACTGCCACAGGTCAGACTGCACAGCTGCCGAACTCAGGGAACAATTTTAGGGATCGGGACTTCTCACTCAGTGGTTACAAAAACCACCACCACTTGATTTACAGGAATCTTTCATATGTTATAGACATCTCTACTACAGTGAGTGCTTAAAGCTAGCTCGCTTTGATTTTTTTTCCTCCCCTTAAGAAAATAACTGTCTCATTGAAAGCGGCTCCATTTGCCTAGAGAATTAAAAAAGAAAAGGCATCTGAGCAGCAGCTACAGCAGAAACCATCAGGGAGCAGTTAGGCCTCCAGCTCCCCAAAATTTCCACCTACACCTAAGCTGCTCCCTCTTGTCTCTTCAAAGCATGTTCTCCCACTGCCAACCCTCCTCCTCCTCCTCTCTGTACTCTCCCCTCTGCTTCCTCAGAGGTCATCAGCGACTTCCAGAACTGGAAAGCCACAGAATAACCCAGAATTCTGATATGGCAGCAACCACCCCTGCACTCAGGAACAGAAAAGTGCAATTTAGGGAGGAAACTGAGAATTTTACCCTTAGAACCTGTACATATATTTGGTTGCAAAAGAAAGAAACTCTTTGTCTGTGGCTTTCAGCTTGGCATCTTTCACCCAGAGCGCTCACCTTTAAAAAAAAAAAAAAAAAGGGAAAAGAGCACTTGCATTGAAAATGTGCCCTTTTTCCTTCTTTTCTTTCTTTGTTTTTAATACCGCTGTAGACAGCTCCGTTGCCAGCTTCCTGCTATCCTCACACCCCACTGGCAGCCCCAGCACTAACTGCAGACCTGTGTTGGTACAGGGAGTCTGCTTGAATTATTAAACTATTCTCTGTACATAGCAAAGAGATGTGTTCAGCTGTGATTTTAACCTCTGTAAAAGTCATGGATTTAGGACAGATGTAACCTTATCTTCCGCTTCCCCTGCCCCCAGAACCTTGAAAAGACAAACAAAACAGCAGCGCTCCTGTTTACAGAGAGAAAGTAAATTGCAGCCCCGTGGAGTTTCACCACCGGGTTGGACATTTGCTCCTGCCTATAATCCATGTGCTTTTGGTGAACACAAAACACCTACAGACATCACCCCACAGAAAGCAAACAGAGGAGAGCTCTTATATTTGGGTGCACTGCAGATTTTGGATAGCTCTTCGAAAGTAGTATTTGGCTGCAGACCAGCTGGGCCGCGGGCTGCAGCTCTCCACAGCATCTGCCTGTTCCTGCCAGACAAAGGCCCTTTTCTCCAGCTCTGCCTAAGGGACAAGGTTTGGGTTTTTTCTTTCTTGTGTGATCAAATTAACATCTCTGAAGTAAAACAGAGACTCAGGTTTTGCTAGGTGCACAGCAGTCCTGGCTTCTCCACCAGATGACCTGAAGCCAGATGAGAGCAGCATAGTCCCAGTTCCCTAAAGATGTGACACTATCATGACTACAAATGAAAGTCGTGTTCAAAAAACTAACTTTCTAAGAACTCACTAAAAAAAGGAATTAAGAAGAGAAGTCAAGAGCCCCAAATGACACTCCATAACTATATTTAAATTATTAAGCAAGTGAGAGGCTTTGCTGAGCCTGGAAAACGCACTGCATCAGCTGCAAGTCCCACACACCGACTGCACCAGCACAATCCACCCTTTCCAGCAGAGCCACCCCAGAGAGCAGCTGCAGCGGCAGCACCCCGGCACACCACAAAACAAGACCTGCTCTCCAAGGAGCCCAGGGCAAGCCAGCCTACACTCAACATGCTGGGGTGAGAACCACCCATGAATCCAAGATATTCCTCTCCTGGGAGTTAATGGCTCCCACCTGGCTCGCCCTGAGGTCTCCCCATCCTGGAGGGATCCATCTCCCTTCTACAAGAGGAACTGCCCAGGTGGGAGCATCCTTTCTACTCAACAGACACTTGTGGAATAAAAATTAAGC